TTGTGGATCTCTGCTGCTCCTCTGTTATTACCCCTAAAATGCTGGTGAACCTTGTGTCAGAAAAGAACATCATCTCTTATGCAGGGTGCATGTCACAGCTCCACTTTTTCCTTGTTTTCGTCACGGTGATAGCCTGAAGCTGCTATGTCATCATATGCCGCCCTTTGCTTTACAATGTCATATCTCATCCCATCTGCTCCCTGCTGGTGGCTGTGGTCAACACCATGAGACTCACTGGCTCAACAGCAGACACTGGCCTCATGTTAAAAGTGCCTCATTGTGAGCTGCTCATCAGTTACTACTTCTGTGACATCCTCCCCATCATGAAGCTCTCCTTCATTAGCACCTATGATGTGGAGATGATGGTCTTTTTGGTGACTGGATTCAACATTGTAGTTACCAGCTTAACGGTCCTTGTTTCCTATGCCTTCATCCTCTCCAGCATCTTCCACATCAGCACCACAGAGGGCAGGTCCAAAGCCTTCAGAACCTGCAGCTCCCACCTTGCAGCTGTGGGGATGTTCTATGGATTGACTGCGTTCATGTATTTAAAACCCTCCACGGCCAGTTCCCTGGCCCTGGAGAATGTGGCCTCCGTGTTCTACACCATGGTGATCCCCATGCTGAATCCCCTAATCTACAGCCCGAGGAACAAGGAGGTGAAGGCTGCTGTGCAGAAAACACCGAGGAGAACATATTGGTGTGAATGTAATTATTCATTTGGGGGTTGAAAGTGGGATGTAAATATAAGAGAGAGGCCCAATGGAGGTTTACAAAGCCATGGATGGAGAGAGAGGGCTTTCCAATCCACTAATGGCTTTCTTTCCAATTTTCCATTAGTCATACTCCTAGGAGTCCTCTCAGATGCATTCTAACCACCCCTATGGGTCCCCTCCAGCATTCTTCTGCCTCTCTCTCCATATGAGAATAGTCCTCCCTCAGAAACCATAGGAGTGGCTCTATGCAGGGGGCAGGTCGCAGGCTGGAGGGAGCCCTGGCCACCACCACCAGGTGTGTTGCCCCTTGGGAAACTGTCTGCCAGAGAGAGGGTCCTGAAGTTGGCAGCTTTTCAGCCCAGACCAGGGGGCCCTGAGCACCTGTGTTCTTTCTGTCAGAACAACCAGGGAGTGACCACCCCAGTATACTCAAACTGGTTCACCCAGCATTTTATTAAGGAGGTAAGGCTGTGCAGGGACACCCCAGGCTAGAGATCCTCCTTCTACACAGTGCCTGGCTCCCCCAGTCGAACCCAGATTATCCTCATCTCACTGGAGGCACAGGCATGTCCCTGCTGGGCAGACAGCCCAGGCCCTGAAGAGGCCTGTCCCATGGGAGAAGCCAGGCCTCTGGACCAGAATCATAGGCCAACCTAGCCACGACCTATCCTGGAAGAGCCCTAGGAAGCCCTGAGCCCTGAGGTGTTGCACTCTCTTTGTCACCTCTCTTCCCCTGGGTGACAGAGATGCAAAGGATTATTCAAAGCCCATTTCTTCTGAGCAGTGAGAAACCCTGAAGGGGTTAGTTTCCTGGAACCCTCAAGAGAGAGGCATTCATCCTCGGGAAATTAAGCCTGGACTGAGGTTCTTTCTCAGTATTTATTCTCTAGGCCAGAAAGTTACAGAAAAAGAACATAGGTGGAGTTATGGCTAGGTATAGTTTAACAACAGAAGCTGGTAACATCAGTAAATTAACAAAGTGCATTCCATAATGCAATTTGCAAAAGGTTAAGTTGATCCAGCAACAAAAGCCTGATCTTAGCAAATACTGTCTTTTCCTACATCAGTTTCCTCTGTATTTTTACATAACAATAAAGTAACTTTAGGTTGACCTGCTCCAAGGATGTCTGTCCTTGAGCACACAATTTTGCTTTATTACAATTCTTTATCTACATCAGACACTTTAGCCTGGGGAAAGTTTCCTGTCTTTTGCAAGCTTAACATTTCCATATGTAATTTTTAAAAGTTAAGTTCTACCTGAAACTATAGGGCTTTGGAAACTAGGCCCTGTGAAATACATATGCCTTATAAACAGTATACTCCACACTGAGGGAGCCCCTCTTTCCAGGAGACATATCCCTCTGCTATGAGTTCACCCCTTAAGAAGCTGCAGGACCGTGCCTCAGGCAGCCCCAAGAATCTCCTCCCCTGCTGGGGGCCTCCACACTACAAACTGAGGCCCCAGTGGGCTGAGCTCTGGCCGCCAGCGCTCGCCCCAGATGGGCCTGCATCTCACATGCCTGCTCTTCCCACAGATGTCGTTCAGCCTTACCCTGAGACTGCAGGATGTCTATTCACTGGAGGGAGAGTGTTTGCTCATGGCCATGGTCTATACCACCCTAAAGGTTCACGGAAGTAAGTACGTCTGTTCCCCAGGGAACTCAGGGTGGCAAGCAGAAAGGACAGACCCTGGCTGTGCCAAGGGCAACTGTTTACACTGACCACAAGACTGCAAGACTGCCCCAGCCCAAAGTGAGCCAGTCATGGAGGGGGGAGTGGCCGGGCCAGGCCAAATGTGGTAGGCTGGACAGGGCACTGTGGGTTTTTCCAGACACCAAGCCTACCCCCTGACATGCCACTGATAAAAGGCAGGAGCAGGGCCTGGCCTGGTCTGCTTCTGGCCCTAGCCTCCTATGCACAACTGAGACCCAGGTATGGCCAAGGCAGGACCCCACAGCCACCCATGAGGAGGAGCTTTGACAGGGAGCAGTGTCTGGGCACTGAGACACCTGGGGGGTGGAGGGACCTTTTCTGGCCTGACTCCCACCCCCACGTTTAGAACACCTCCAGAAACTGTCCTTAGAAGACATCCTGGAGTTTGTACACAACGAGCTCTCTGTGGACTGGGCCCTTGAGGATGACGAGGTGCTGAGGCACCCTCAGGCTTCCACAGCAGAACTATGTTGAGCTAAGTGTGACCTGGCCCTCTCAAGTGGGTCCAGCACTAGGTCCCCTGGCGATTCAGCATTGGGGGCAGTACACAGAGAGGAGGGCCTGGGAACTACCAGCCCCACTCTCTGGGCTTTCTGTCTCTTCTTCCCCCTCCTCTGCTCTAAGAAGCTTCTGAAAGCAAGGCCAGCAGGGCCTCAGGGCAGATGCTGGCCTCAGATGCCTCAGAGACCAGGAGGGAGATGTGGAAAATCTGCCACCAGCTCCTCCCCCACGTCCTCCAGTTCTTGTCCTCCAAGATCCCCTGACGGCCACAGCAGCCTTCAGACCTATCTGTTCAAGCAGAAGACCACACATGAGAGCAGCCACAGGCCCCAGAGAGCAGCAGAGTGCCCCCTTTCATCCTGAATTCCCACGCAAGGATGTCAGGACAACAAGACGCAAGCCAGACACTGAAAAGAATCTGAATCCCAAAGCTAAAAAGAATTCAGAGAGATGGCACACGTGGGACCCCCAGAACTGAGGCAGTCAGTACCTAGAGTTCAGCTGAGTCAGGGAATGGTCCAGTCCTGGCAAGGAACGGATGGTCCTAGAGGGCAGAGGGGCCAAGAGCCTGGTGGCATCTCACCCAGTATGGGGAGAGGCCCCCATGTTAGGTGGCAAGTGGGTCAGGTGACAGGGTGTCGCCCGCTTGAGTTCTGAATCAAGGCTGAAGCCCAGGCCCGGCTACTATGGGGTGAGGGCCTGAGGCAGAAAGCCAAAGCCAGCCTGAACCGAACACTGTGCAGACGTCCCAGGAGCAGCTAGAGGTGCCCTGCCAGCTCCCAAGCCTCGGGCTGACCACACCCTTTGCTTTGGGATCAGCATCCTGCAGGAGTGTCCTCAGTGTCAAGCCAGGGAGGCCACGCAGCAACCAGGAACACTGCTGGAACCCAGGTCCATGGGGCCTGTCCTAGAAAGTCCAGACAGACTACGTGTATAAGCTGAACACGTCCGCTTTCTTTTCAGCAACATCTGAGGAGTTTCTAAGGAACGCCCTGGGCCCAGACCTGGTGTCCTCGGCACCTGGGCCTCAACTGGCCTCCCGCAGCATGGAGACCCACCCCCACAAAAATGGGCTGGCCCTCTCTGACCCACCGGCACAGGTCCAACAGCTTCAGGAGGCCAAGGCCCAGTGGCAGGAAGGGGCCTGTGCAGAGCCCAGGGCTGTGGGTCTCGCGCACTGGCGGCCTGGGGAAATCAGGGTCTAGTTGGCCTCTCCCCATTCCAGGACAGGCCACCAGTAGTATGGATGCTCCTTTTCAGTGGAGCTCGCTTCCTAACCCCGCCCCCACGGACCTGGATGTTGGGGGCCCATGGTACCCCCGATACAACTTTGAGCAGGAGCGCTGGGTCCCGGTCACTTCCACATCAGCCATGGCCACCCCCAAACCACAGAACAGGCCCAGTTCTGCACCCCCATGGAAGCCTCATTACAAGGCCCTGCCTGGCTGATGAAAGGCTCACAGGCAAGGCTCAATTCAGCCCCCCAGCACATGATCTCTGTATTCCACATCCCTCTGAAGGCAGGGACACACACAGCCCAGAAGAAGCTGGGGCAGCACCCGACAAGCTGCCCTGCAGCCCCAGACAGCTCCTCGATTGAAAATCAATGTCACTGGGGAGGCTGGACATTTGTGGGCCACTAGAGAGGAGGGAGAGCGTAATGTCCTCCCAGCCCCGACCAGCGGCAGTGCACCATGCATGCTTATGCCAGTTGACCTGAGGACTTACACCCACCTCTCTCTGTCGGTTACTACAAAATAAACTGTTAGCGTTTACAATATGCCTGTTTCTGTGACTCCCAGAGCTCTGTAGGAAGCACAGGACATTCTGGGGCAGGAGAAAGGACAGGGTGGCACAGCCCAGGCTGCAGACTAGCCTTTCCCAGCCTCCTCCTTGCAATGGCCTGAGGAGGACGATGGCCACTCAGAGCCTAGGTTCCCACATATTCCTTAGGGGCCACAGGCCCACAGCCTCCTACCCTCAGCTAGACACCAGGGTCAAGGCCATCAAATGATTTACTGTGATTCAACCTTCACATGGCAAGGGCCCAGAGAGGACTGGGAGGGGAGGAAAGGACTAGGGTGCCAGTGGAGTATGGGACAGGTAATGACAGTCTGTGCAAAGAGTCCCTGGGACAATCTACAGTCACCTCTCTTTCTGGGCTGATCGGGCTCTGGAGGAACTTCCTTCCTTCTTTTCCTCCTCCTCTCTATTCCTACTCCTGGCCATCTGGAAGTNCCCCACAGCCACCCATGAGGAGGTGCCTTGACAGGGAGCAGTGTCTGGGCACTGAGACACCCGGGGGGTGGAGGGACCTTTTCTGGCCTGACTCCCACCCCCACGTTTGGAACACCTCCAGAAACTATCCTTGGAAGACATCCTGGAGTTTGTACACAACGAGCTCTCTGTGGACTGGGCCCTTGACAATGACGAGGTGCTAAGGCACCCTCAGGCTTCCACAGCAGAACTATGTTGAGCTAAGTGTGGCCTGGCCCTCTCAGGTGGGTCCAGCACTAGGTCCCCTGGTGATTCAGCATTGGGGGCAGTACACAGAGAGGAGGGCCTGGGAACTACCAGCCCCACTCTCTGGGCTTTCTGTCTCTTCTTCCCCCTCCTCTGCTCTAAGAAGCTTCTGAAAGCAAGGCCAGCAGGGCCTCAGGTCAGATGCTGGCCTCAGATGCCTCAGAGACGAGGAGGGAGATGTGGGCCATCTGCCACAGCTCCTCCCCCACGTCCTCCAGTTCTTGCCCTCCAAGATCCCGACGGCCACAGCAGCCTTCAGACCTATCTGTTCAAGCAGAAGACCACACATGAGAGCAGCCACAGGCCCCAGAGAGCAGCAGAGTGCCCCCTTTCATCCTGAACTCCCACGCAAGGATGTCAGGACAACAAGACGCAAGCCAGACACTGAAAAGAATCCGAATCCCAAAGCTAAAAAGAATTCAGAGAGATGGCACATGTGGGACCCCCAGAACCGAGGCAGTCAGTACCTAGAGTTCAGCTGAGTCAGGGAACAGTCCAGTCCTGGCAAAGAATGGATGGTCCTAGAGGGCAGAGGGGCCAAGAGCCTGGTGGCATCTCACCCAGTATGGGGAGAGGCCCCCATGTTAGGTGGCAAGTGGGTCAGGTGACAGGGTGTCACCCGCTTGAGTTCTGAATCAAGGCTGAAGCCCAGGCCCAGCTACTACGTGGTGAGGGCTTGATGCAGAAAGCCAAAGCCAGCCTGAACCGAACACTGTGCAGACGTCCCAGGAGCAGCNTGGCCTCCCGCAGCGTGGAGACCCACCCCCACAAAAATGGGCTAGCCCTCTCTGGCCCACCAGCACAGGTCCAACAGCTTCAGGAGGCCAAGGCCCAGTGTCAGGAAGGGGCCTGTGCAGAGCCCAGGGCTGTCGGTCTCGCACTGGCGGCCTGGGGAAATCAGGGTCTAGTTGGCCTCTCCCCACTCCAGGACAGGCCACCAGTAGTATGGATGCTCCTTTTCAGTGGAGCTCACTTACAAACCCCCCCCCCTCGGACCTGGATGTTGGGGGCCCATGGTACCCCTGGTACAACTTTGAGCAGGAGCGCTGGGTCCCGGTCACTTCCACATCAGCCATGGCCACCCCCAAACCACAGAACAGGCCCAGTTCTGCACCCCCATGGCAGCCTCATTACAAGGCCCTGCCTGGCTGATGAAAGGCTCACAGGCAAGGCTCAATTCAGCCCCCCAGCACATGATCTCTGTATTCAACATCCCTCTGAAGGCAGGGACACACACAGCCCAGAAGAAGCTGGGGCAGCACCCGACAAGCTGCCCTGCAGCCCCAGACAGCTCCTCGACTGAAAATCAATGTCACTGTGGAGGCTGGACATTTGTGGGCCACTATAGAGGAGGGAGAGCATAATGTCCTCCCAGCCCCAACCAGCGGCAGTGCACCATGCATGCTTATGCCAGTTGACCTGAGGACTTACACCCACCTCTCTTTGTCAGTTACGACAAAATAAACTGTTAGCGTTTACAATATGCCTTTTTCTATGACTCCCAGAGCTCTGTAGGAAGCACAGGACATTCTGGGGCAGGAGAAAGGACAGGGTGG